GAAGGTGTTTTAATCCCATCTTTACTGCTCAGCATTGCCAGAACCCCCAGCTCTGCACCAAGACTTGTGGTCCGTGCTAAAGTGAGAAACATTAGTATGGTAATATCCAGACGTTTTATCATTTTGATTTTACAAATGAGGAAATTGAGGCCTCATACATAAGTGGTCACGTGTCCAACTGACCATCCTTTTTAGGTTCTTAGAACATGGACACTCTTTGCCACCTCTGGGCCTTTGCAAGGGGCTGTTCCCTCCACCTAGGACTTTTTTATTCCATGTTCACCTGACCAAACCCTACTCAGCCTTTAGAGTGTAATTAAAATGTCAGTTTTCTACAGAGGCTTCCATTGACCCTCCGCTCCCCCCAATCTAAAACAGACCTGCTATTCTGTCTTCTGACATTCCTGTTTTTCTTTATAATGCTTATCACTAATAATAGTTATTTTACCTTTAAGATGCATTTGCTTAATGTCTACCAGCTAAACTGTACACCTCACGGGGACAGGAATAGTGACATTCGTGGTAACTCCTGTATGCTCATTGCCTGGCACCCATGCCTGACACAGAGGAGGGACTCAAGAAACATTGTGTTGAATGAAAGAATACAAACATGAGCCATTCACACAGCTCATTAAATAGCCAAACAAAGGCTGTAACTCATGGTCACCATGACTTCAGCTGTTAGCATGCCCTATGCTGTGGCCGTGACCTCCCCTCCTAAGTTATGTGATCACCAAGACAAAGAACCATCATCCTAGCTCTTTGTATGGGTTCCTAAGACATTAGCACAGTTTGATATGTAGGGATTTAGGATATGAAGGGTGGATATGTGTTTGGATGCATGGACAGAAGGAATGAGAGACTGACGGACAGACTTGCAAACGAAGTGCCAGGCTAATCCTCAGAGGGACCCAGGGGGTGACCAGTGTGTGGAGTGTGGGGAGAATAGAGCTAACCGGTTGAGCACGTCGAGCACCTGCACTCCCATCAGGCCCTGTTAGAAGGAAATGGTGGTTACGTGCATCAGCCTTCAAACAGAACCTGAATTCTCACCCCAATTAAGATCCAAAATCAATACACTATTCTGGAGTTTTTGGAATGAACCTTCCGTTTCGTTGGATCTTAAAGTGTTCTCACTCTGATATTCCTGTCACATGATATTGGAACATTTTCGTTTTACATGAAAGCAACTTTTGTTTCTTGTTACACCAGAGTGAGCAGCCTGTTACTATAGCAATATTGAAAGTATTTTGAGATATTTTTATACAGTCTTCTAAATACTCCCTGCAAACTGTACATAGCAGTTAGCAAGTAGAAATGGACTGCAATATCCCAAATTGTTTTCCTCTTGTATCTTTATATCCTTTATTAAGCTTTTGCAAACTTTGCTATAATTTAATTCCTGAAATTTGAACCTCTTTTATGTTCGAGAAAGAAGAATTTGGGGAAGTGTAAATCATTCGGGGGAGTGTAAATATATTTGGCCTATTGCACATTGAAAATAGCTCTGAAATAACTTGAATTTTGTTGTGAATGCCATCAAGATACAACTGCTTCTGAGATCTGCCGTTTTCAAACAATGGGTGCAATCATAGATTCCTTCTGTGTTGTCTGCAGGGCCTGGACAGCTTCAGAGTGAAACAGAAATTCTTCTCGGGCAGCCAGGAGCCGACAGCTTCCTTCCCTGTGCCGTATGATCTGCCTCCAGAAGTGTATGGGAGTAAAGGTGAGATACTAATGAAGGAACACCTGGGGTTTATGGTCCAGAGCAGAAAAAGAGCCCGGGAAAAGCCACGGATTTCAGTGGGAGGCTGGCTCGTGGATGACTGTGGAAGCATGGGTGTGTTGAGGCCCCTGGTGCTGTCCTGTTTAGGGCCCCTGAAGCCGTAGTTCTCACAGTGGCTGTCCTTGGCACTCCGCTGCACTCTTATCATTATTGAGGACCATAAAGAGCTTTTATTTATGTGGAGGTTTATAGCTATTGATGTGTACTATATCAGAAATTAAAACCAAGAAATTGGAATATATTTGCTTTAAAAAAACAGCAATAAACCCATTATGATATATATATGTTTTTATGACTACTTCCCCCTCCAAAAAAAAAGTTAATGAGGAAGGTTAGGTATTGTTTATATTTTTTACAAACCTCTTTCTATCCGGGTTGGCGGAAGACAGCTGGAGTCTCCTAGCCGCTCTGTTGTGATATCACACGTGTCTCATAGCTTCTGTACACCAGTGAGAAAGAGAAAGTGACCGATAATAGCTTAAAGTTATGATGAAAATGATTTCACAGCCCTGACCCTGCTTAAAAGGGAGGACCCCAGACCACACTGAAAACTGCTAAGCTATGAGTTTCTTTAGGGCAGTGACCATGTATTTTTCACAATGAGAAGTCAGTGGAATTTTGGTTCAGGTTCCTGATGACCCTGGAGTGGCTGGCGGGTTTCCGCCTCTGACCCAGGCCCACAGGCTGCAGTTATGCTTTTCTCAGCCACTGAATGTCTGTCTGCCTTTGAGGCAAGTTCACACTTATCAGACTCACACAGGAGATGTATAATCACCCGTGGTCTAATAATCAAACAGACAGATTATCAAGAGAAAATAAATAAATTTAATATATACGTATGTAAGGGAACCCCGCAGACTTGAGAGAGTCAGAGACCCCACATGCAAGAGGTTCAGAGATAAGAAGGAACATGGGAGTGTAAGAAGACACCTTGAGCTAGGGATGACATAATGCACCTTGGGGGCTTCAAAAGGTCATTGCAGGATGATAAGAGCAGATGTTTAGTAAATAAAAGTTTGCCCTGCCCTGTTGATAGGTCAAAAGCTTATAGCTGATAATAGTTTATTATGGGCAAGGCCCCTAATTCAAGTTTTTCTAGGTAGGTAAGGGAGGGGCAGAAGTTTCTCTTGAGCCTGGGGCTAAAGTTGCTTTTAGCTCAAAATAATCTGCATACCACAGAGATATCCATCTGGGGTGACTTGTTCTAAACCCCACACAGGCCATGCTTAGTAATTTAAAATGGCAAATGCTCATATCACCACAACCAGCATATTCTCTCCAGGAAGATAGAGGCCTACATGGATAGTCAAATTATAATCCATGGTTTTTGAGTGAATGCTGACTCTGAACAGGGCAAATTTGGGTTTTGATCGGAAGGTTTTAATGATATCACCTCACTAATATTCCAAAATCTGATTCCTTAACAGAGTCAGCCTTGCCCAATGGGTCCCTTTCTTCCCAAAACAGTGATGAATGGGCTCTAGGTACTTCCCCACCCTTTATGGTAAACCAAACCTCCCCCTCCTGATACGCCCATTTCTTAGATTGTAATCCTATTGTTGTCGGAGAGTGGGCCCTTCTTGGTGTGATGTCCAGGTTCTTAGCCTCTCAAGCAAAGAATTGAACGAGATACCAGGCAAAGTAGTAAAAGAGCAGTTTATTAGAAGAGCTACTACGTTTCCAAGAAATAGAAGCAGGCCTGAGAAATAGAGAATGGCTCAAGGGGCCATTATTAGAAGAGAAATTACACTCCAAGAGTTTGAAGCGGGCCGCGTGCGCAAAGGTGAGGCTCAAAACGCTGAAAGGGCTCAAAAAAGGGAAGGGCTGGCTGCTCGGGACTTGGAGTCGTGATCCCTTTTTCCCTAGAATGGGCTGTTCCTGTCTGGTGTGGGACCACTTGATTGGCACCTGTGATTGACAAGAGGCTATAGTGGAGAGGGGAGGTCTTTTGGGCGGTGCATTCTGTGGGATGGACATGCAGGAATGCGGAGACCCAATGCCTGCCTTGGTTTCCCCTTGAGAGACGTGATCCCCATAAAATCTCTATGGGAAGCTGAGGGTCAGGAGGTCTCTTCTGTGTCTGCTTCCTGCTGGGCAGGGGCGTAGAGCTGTCCCTGCCTATTGGGGAATTCATGGAACTTTCACCCTAGCTGATCTCAAATGAGAGGAAGAGGTCTCGAGATCCACCTGGAAGGTTGTGTTGGCTTCTTTGATTGTGACTAGCAATCTTGTTGGGGTGTCACCCATATCTCCAAGGCCCCTGAATGATGAAAAATAGATTTTAATTAATCTGTTAGTTTTAATTAATTTTAATTAATTTTAATTTTAATTAATCTCGTGAAGCCTGTGGCCATTCAGGTGTACCGGATCACTCAGGTGGGTCAATTGTCTGGACCCAGAATGGGTTTGGAAGGAAGCATTATGCTTACTGGCCTGGAGAAATGTTAAAACCTACTTAGTCTTTGGGTTGGCTTGGGGGATATTGGCAGGTCACACAGGCTTTTAAGTAGTTATCTGAAGCAGGGGTAGGAGATTTCTATGAGCAATCTATTGTTTAGGGTTTAGAAACTGATTTACAAAACAATCAAGAAGCAGGGTGGGCTGGCCGAGTGATTCAGTTGGTTAAGAGCTCAAGCTCTGAGCAAAGGGTCACTGGTTCGATTCCCACATGGGCCAGTGAACTGTGCCCCAGCTGAGCTGCTGCTGAGCTGTCAACAGGTGGCAGGATGGCTTAGCTGGTGAGAGCACGTGCTCCTAACAACAAGGTTACCAGTTCTACTCCTGAGCAAAGGGTCACTGGTTCGATTCCCACATGGGCCAGTGAACTGTGCCCCAGCTGAGCTGCCGCTGAGCTGCCAACAGGTGGCAGGATGGCTCAGCTGGTGAGAGCACGTGCTCCTAACAACAAGGTTACCAGTTCTACTCCTGCATGGGATGGTGGGCTATGCCCACCCACAACTAAGATTGAACACGGCACCTTGAGCTGAGTGGCCATGAGCTGCCGACGGGTGGCCAGATGGCGACTAGAGTTGGAGCTGCGCCCTCCACAACTAAGATTGAAGGGCAACAACTTGGCTGATCCCCTTCCCAATTCCCCAATGAAATCTTAAAAAAAAAAAAGCAGGGGGATAGTCTAGGATTCACAAACTGATTAGAAGAGTAATCAAAGCCAGGAGCTAAGAAACTAGGGAGGAGACTTAATATTTCTATAGGAAAGAAAACTTAAAAGTTTTTCGGTGGGGGTGAGCTACTCGCCTAGCCGGTAACACTATCTCATGCTGTCTGATGTGCCAGCCTGCCTCTTGCAGATGACTATATATACAAAGGGTGCCAAAAAATGTATACACGTTTTAAGATCGGAAAACACTGTATTAAAATTACTCTGATGGTAACCACTTTGAGCACCTCTTGTAATTGCAGAAGTCAAACATGACTTGTATTCATCTTTTGTTATCGGTATATATTATTACAATTTTAATACAATTTTCCTTTCTTAAAATGTGTATACATTTTTTTCCCACCCTCTGTATACAATCAGTTGTGTTGACACTGAGCTTTAGAAAGCATTCTTGCTCCCCCCTACTTTTTGAGCTGTGGACTGGTTTTTTTTTTTTTTTGAGTCCTCTAAATTTTTTGTGTATTCATTTTTCACTAGTAAGATTATATAGGTTTTATCAGAATTTCAAGGACTCTGACCACCACTACCCCCACCCCCAACCTCCCCCACACACACACACAAATGGAAAACATTGCTTTAGCACCAGACTATGTTTAAGTGCAACATTATAACTTGTTAAGTGACCTTGGGCAGTTATTTGCAATCTCGAGACCTTAGTGTTTCTATCTGCAAAACAAGAATGCCTACCTCATAGAGTTGTGGAAACTGAGATATCTGTGATGCACTTAACACAGTGTCTTAGTTCAGAAATAGCAGTTGGTAAATGTTAGCCATTGTTTCCGTTGTCAACATCAGGAACGTCCAAACCTGTAGAGAATTTTATGAGTTTATTTGAGCCATACTGACAATTGCTGAGAAGCAAAATCTCATCGGATTGAGAAAATGCTCCAGAGAATGACAGTTTTGCAGCTTATTTTATACATTAGACTCAAAGGAGGAGACATAAGGAGGGTTACATGAAACCCACTGGTGGTAGATTCAAGGGGCGGGAGAAAGCAAAGCAGGGAAATCCCTGGGATTGGATAAAAGGTAAAATGGAGAGACACATGTTTCTTTTACATTGGTGGGTAGTTAATAATGGGTAGTTAATAACAGGTGGGTAGTTAATAACAAGATAGTTAATAATGAACGTTTACAGCACATAGAGGGGGTATGTGGGCAACAAGATGACAGTGAAGGGGGCTGGTGCAGTGGTTGGGCCCTGAGGGGTCAGGAAAAGGAGATGACTCTGACATTTCAAAGGTATGTTATCTTAGATGTAAAGACAATAGACAGGCTTCCCTTCAGGTAAAGACTGACCTTTGCCAAGGAAGCTACAGGCCTGGGACGTGACTACGAACCATGACTCGCTTTTAGTTAGGAATTTGTATGTTCAGCCCATCCTGTGTGCTTACCTTCTGTCTCTGAGTTTGTAAGGCCCTCCATGCTGGCCTCCCCTGAGCTCGTCAGGTTTAGTTTGTGGCCCCTTTTCTCGCTCACACTGTTAGCTAAAATGCCCAGTTTAGCTCCTGACGTATAGTCGGGATTGATATTCATTCTCTCCACTTCTCCTTGGTGAGCTGATGATGAAAACAGCCTAAGGCTTCTGCAAAACGGACTTTAAACCTGCAGGACTGCCGCTGGCTGTCTCTCCTCCCCTCTCGGGGTTGTGCTGCTCCTTTGTCTTTCCTTTCTCCCCTTTTGTTTGTTTTAAACAAGTTCTCCTGAATGACTTTGGAGCTAGGGACAGTCTGTAACTGCCTTAGGCATAGGTCTGGCCTTG